TCGTAGTCCTACAGCGTTGCTCGAGAGATGTCATCCTTGGCATGGACTTCTTATGCCTCCATGGTGCTGTCATCAACCTAAAAACAAAGTCGATAACGTTATCCAAGGAAGCAGCCCTACTGCCGCGCACGCCGTCAGGACACCATGCCTTGAATGTGCTGGAAGAACAAGTCACCACCCCGCCTCGCTCAAGCGTCATTATTTCAGTCTGCGCTCCTAAATCACTTGACTTCGAAGGCGTCGTTGAAGGCAGTCAGCATCTGTTGGTCACCCGAAATATTTGCATCGCAAGAGGAATTGCAGAGCTGCGGGGAGGCAAAGCAACGGTTATGCTCACGAATTTCAGCAATGAGTACAAACATGTGAACAAAGGAACAACGGTCGCATACATCGAAGAAATTGTCGAAGCCACCAGTGCTTTCGTCCTCGCCGATTCTGCGGAACCTGCTCAGAGGAACCAAGCCCCTCCCATAGCTTTCGACGTCAATCCCAGACTTCCGAACGATAAGCAAGAACAGCTCAAGGCCCTGCTCCTGCAATACGAAGATTGCTTTTCAACGTCATCAAAAATTCAGCAGACCCCAATCACGAAACATCGCATCATAACCGAAGAAAATGCCAGACCACTCCGTCAGAGTCCGTACAGGGTTTCGACGCGAGAACGTGAGGCCATGAAGAGACAAGTTGATGAAATGCTGCGGGATGACATTATCCAGCCGTCCAAGAGTCCATGGGCATCCCCCGTGGTGTTAGTGAAGAAAAAGGATGGGACCCTACGTTTCTGCGTCGGTTATCGCCGCCTGCACAAAATCACAAGAAAGGACGTGTATCCCCTCCCCCGAATAGACGACGCACTTGATCGGCTCCATAACGCCAAGTACTTTTCGTCAATGAACCTCAAGACTGGCTATTGGCAAATCGAAGTCGACGAAAGAGACCGAGAGAAGACGGCGTTTATAACACCGGACGGCCTCTTCGAATTTAAGGTGATGCCCTTCGGCCTTTGCTCAGCGCCTGCAACTTTTCAACGCATTATGGATACAGTACTGGCAGGATTGAAGTGGCAGACTTGCCTTGTGTACTTGGACGACGTCGTCGTGTTTTCCTCAAGTTTCGACGAGCATTTTCGGCGCCTTGAAGCTGTACTTCAAGCCATCAAGACGTCCGGACTCACACTGAAGCCAGAAAAGTGCAGATTTGCGTATGAGGAGCTCTTGTTTCTGGGGCACGTTATCAGCAAGTCTGGAGTTCCTCCCGATCCACAGAAAATAGCCACCATTGCCGACTTCCCGCCGCCCACTGACAAGAAGGCCGTGCGCCGATTTCTGGGCCTGTGCGCCTATTATAGACAGTTCGTGAAAAACTTCGCCCGCGTCGCCGATCTTCTTACTAACCTTACCAAGGCCGACGTGGAATTCAAGTGGGAAACGCCACAGGAACACGCTTTCCAGGAGCTTAAACATCGCCTCCAGACGCCTTCGTTACTTGCCCATTTCGACGAATTCGCCGAGACAGAAATACATACTTACGCAAGCAGCGTAGGTCTTGGCGCCGTTCTTGTGCAGAGGGCTGACGGACTTGAAAGGGTTATTAGTTACGCCAGCCGATCGCTATCCAAAGCAGAAGCAAATTATTCCACAACAGAAAAGGAGTGCCTCGCCATCATCTGGGCTACGTCGAAATTTCGCCCCTACCTCTACGGCAGGCCCTTCAAAGTTGTGAGCGACCACCACGCCTTGTGTTGGCTAGCCACTTTGAAGGACCCTTCAGGTCGCCTCGCACGATGGAGCCTGAGAATTCAAGAATATGACATTACTGTCATTTACAAGTCCGGCAAAAAACACTCCGACGCTGACTGTCTCTCTCGTGCGCCTGTCGACCAACCGCTACCCGATGACCCGGATGACGACTACTTCTTGGGAACGATAGCTACAGACGACTTCGCTGAACGACAGCGGGCCGACCCAGAACTTAAGGCCCTAATAGAATACCTCGAAGGCAGGACCGCCGAAGTCCCGAAGGTATTCAAGCGCGCACTTGCGTCGTTCTTCCTACGAAACGGTCTTCTACAAAAGAAAAACTTTTCACCGCTTCGAGCTAAGTACCTCCTTATGGTGCCTTCAGCTCTGCGACCAAAACTCCTACAGGCCCTGCACGACGATCCGACGGCAGGGCACCTCGGTGTTTCTCGCACGCTCGCGAGGATACAAGAAAGGTACTACTGGCCACGTCTTACCACCGACATCACTCGTTATGTGAGGACATGTCGGGACTGTCAGCGACGCAAGACACCGCCGACAAGGCCAGCGGGACTTCTGCAGCCATTTGATCCACCTTGCCGACCTTTCCAGCAGATTGGTATGGACCTACTAGGGCCGTTCCCGACGTCGGCTTTCGGAAACAAGTGGATCACGGTAGCTACCGACTACCTCACCCGCTACGCCGAGACAAAAGCCCTGCCAAAAGGCAGTGCATCCGAGGTAGCCAAGTTCTTCGTCGAAAATATCGTCCTATGTCACGGCGCCCCGGAGGTCCTTATCACCGACAGAGGAACGGCATTCACTGCCTCAAGCGATCTTGGCATACAGCCAAACAAACCACCGCCGGACGACAGCGTACCACCCACAGACCAACGGCCTCACCGAGCGGCTTAACAAGACGATCGCCGACATGCTGTCAATGTACGTCGATGTCGAACACAAGACGTGGGACGCCATTCTTCCGTATGTGACCTTCGCATACAACACGGCGGTGCAGGAGACGACGCAGATATCTCCATACAAATTGGTCTACGGAAGGAGCCCGGCAACGACGCTCGATGCCATGTTACCCAACGTCACCGACGAAGAAAGCCTCGATGTGAGCGAGTACCTTCAATGTGCCGAAGAAGCCCGACAACTTGCGCGTCTCCGTATCAAGAATCAACAGACGACAGACAGCCACCGTTACAACCTTCGACGACGCTTCGTGGAATACCAGCCCGGTGAACGTGTTTGGGTGTGGACGCCGATACGCTGACGTGGACTAAGTGAAAAGCTTCTGCGACGCTACTTCGGACCGTACAGGGTGGTTCGACGTCTCGGCCCACTTGATTACGAGGTTGTCCCCGACGGCATCACGAACACTCAACGACGCCGATCGCGACCTGAAGTCGTGCATGTCGCGCGCCTCAAGTCGTTTCATGCGCGTTAACAAACTAAAACAGTGTTTTTCTTGGTATTATTGTTTCATCGTAATTTATTCATTGTACTTTCTTGCATTATTATTGTACCTTCACCTTTGGTTAAAGCATCGGGACGATGCCTTTTTTCAGAGGGGGCAATGCCACGTTCCATTTCCCAAGTTTTCGTTATCGTCCTAAAACACCACACGATTCTCAGCGCAAGCCGCGCCTGCAGTTTTCGAGAAGGTTCCCGACTGTAGTAGATCATTTCGATAAGATCACGCCCACTGTGCGAACGGTACAGATTGTTCTGGAACCTATGCCACCGCCAGCGATAACGCTAGAACATTCGATGGCAAGAGTATAAATGCGGACGCGCTTCACCGCTTGTCAGTTGTTGAACGAAGGCCGACGCTCCGTTCGCCGCTATCAGTCCGAGACTGCTATCTGTGCAAGACTGCTGCTGTAATCAGACTTTCCGTTTACTGGGCACAGGTTCGCCCAAATGAACAGTTAAATCCGAACACGAAGTCTCCTGTCTTCGGCCACGTCACGACCCCGTGACAATATCATAGCTGAAATCAAGAAGAAGAAATGGACATGGGCCGGGCATGCAGCGCGTAGACAGGATAACCGCTGGTCGTTAAGGGTAACTAACTGGATTCCCAGAGAAGGAAAGCGGGTTAGGGGGAGACAGAAGGTTAGGTGGGCAGATGAGATATAGAAGTTTGCGGGTATAAATTGGCAGCAGCAAGCACAGGACCGGGTTAACTGGCGGAACATGGGAGAGGCCTTTGTCCTGCAGTGGACGTAGTCAGGCTGATGATGATGATTATACACAAAACTAAAGTAATGTGCAACAGTCTTGGCAGGAAACAGCACTTTGCAATAGGAAGAGATGTTGAAAGTTGTAAAGGGATATGTCTACTTGAGACAGGTAATAACCTTGGAGCGAGAGAGAAATAACTGGAAGAATAAGAATGAAGTGGATCACATTCAGCGAAAATTCTAAAATCGTAAATGGTAATCTCCCACTAATCCTCAAGAGAAAGGTATATAATAGCTGTATCTTGCCAGTCCTTACCTACGGAGCAGAAACCGAGGCTTTCAAATAGGGTCCCGCTTAAATTGCGGACGATGCAGCAAGCGACGGAAAGGAAAATTTAGATGTAACCTTTAGAGACAAGAAGTGAGCGGAGTGGATCAGGGAATAAACCGGAGTTAAGGGTATCATAGTTGAAATCAAGAAGAATAAATGGACATAGGCCAGGCATGTAGCATGTAGGCAGGATAACCTGGTCATTAAAGGTAAACGCACAAAGGGGAGACAGAAAGATAGGAGGTCTGATGAGATAAGATGAAGTTTGCAGGTACAACGTAGCATCAGAAAGCACAAGAGCAGTTTGATAAGCTCATCATGGGAGAGGTCTTTGCCCTGCAGTGAGTGTAGTCAGGCTGCTGCTGTTGCTGCTTTTGATGATGATGATGAAGTTTCACAGGCACACATGTCAGTGGCTGCTACCACACTAGCAGCTACTGTCACACATGCAAAGCCGTTCGTTATCAACGATTGGCAGGAATCAGCAGCCCGAAATGGGAGTCGAATTTCAATGCTGGTTGTGGTACTGGCCTCAGCTCAAGTTGAAGGCTGCACTTAAGACCACATATAAAAAAAAGATTGCTTCCCGTTACATATATAGTTTTATTTGTCTCGTTTCACATAACTTCAAAGTTGTCTCTTGTGTTGCAGACACGTTCGTGCAAAAGTACGGGGTACATTTAAACTTGAACAAGTTCATTTTGTTAGAGCCATCATGCAAGGAAGGGAATCACTCACCTCAGTGTTTCTGTTGGTGCATGGCCGAGCCGTGGTGCTGCCTCCCCCCGCCATAGAGGCCGCTCTTCGTGCTCGTGGCACCATGTGTACGTCGGAGACGCCACGGTTGCCCAAGGGTGTGAAGCGGGGTTTCCAGCCGGAGGAGCTGGTGTGCAGAAAGCAGGCCACCGAAGGTGGCCCCCCATTGGTGGAGCGTGCCACCAAATGGGGGAGGGGAGCCACTGCATCCTCCCAGTTGGCCACCTGGAGCAGTAATCATTCGGCTGAGCCACTCTGCAGCGCACTAGAAACTTGTAGAGCGCTCACTGAGTGGCAGAGCCTGGCCTGGCTCGTAGCGTCCCCTGAAACTTTTTGGTGGGTTGGCTATCATGCATTGCTGTTTTGGGAAAAAAAAAAAAGGAAACCTTACGGTGCACAACACACGAAATTTCTCTTGATGCACGTTTTCTGTTGGTTGCAAAATAATTGCTGTCGTGACTAATTTAGGAAGGGCCGGTAATGTTTTAAGCAGCTACTGCATAGATGAATGCTCCTCGACACAACCACTGAAGTAACAGGGTTTATAGTCAGGAGCGCTTGCCCTGCTGACCGACAAAATGTTAAATGCCGTTTCATCACTGCAGCAATCATAGCGACCTAACATGGGCATATTGACCCAACTGTGCTGACTGTAAATAACGCCTCTTTTATTAATTTTTTTTTTGCATATAAGCTGGTTTGTGTATCTAACCTCCTCAATGTGTTTTTTTTTTCCGAATCAATAATGGGTTGAATTGCTTAACTTTGTAATAAATGTATCGACACCACAACCTTCACAAGCTATTTTTATTTGCAGACATCATGCAAGGTTACTAAGACTGACTCGTGAATGAATGTGGCACTACACTACTAGTTTCAGATAAATTGAAAAGAAAATATATATATGCATAGCTATTTTGAGTACATAACAACACACATCACGTGCGTACTGACATTTAATTACGTTGTAGAGCTGCTCCAGTTCTTCAGTAATGCGAATGAAGGAGGACACAAAGAAACACTCGAAAACATCACACACTAAAAATATCTATCTGATCTAATTTACACAAAGCCCGAGGTCAAACAAAAAACAAGTATAAACATCCTAAAATCAACTACAACTACGAGAAAAATATTCCACGGACTTCGGAAGCCTATCAATAACAGAAACTTGTGTAGTCACTACACAGCTCTTCTAAAAACACCAAAACAAAATACAGTATAGACTGCTTATAAAGTACGTCGCGAGAGTCGCGAATATCCCCACTATAAGCGATACCGCACTATAACCAAAACAACCTTTTTCAATAACCGCACTTGCGCAGACCCTGTTGAGCATGCAGCTTCGCATGTCCGAGAATCGAAACATGCAATGCGTGCTTGCCAACATTTAAATTGCTGAATGTTAAAAGAATTTAACATCCAAAGACACGCATTGCCAATGAAATGAATGCGAAAGGAGGGTGTGTGTCTAACAAATGAAAGCACAATCGTGGAAATTCGCCGACTACCAGAACCCCTCAATTGTGCGCATTACACAGAAACTATGTTGAATCACGTCCAGAATATGATGCGTTGACGCTAACCATTTGATTTCACGGGCGCACACTTGATTTAAGACATTGCAATCAGATCGAGAACCACTCTTTGAGCGCTACACGTTTCACCCTCGTTTTCATTAACAATATGTACCCCTTCCCGTCAAGTGCACTTCCGCTAAGAGTTTCGTTTCGTTGAAACTGCAACTTAGATTCATGCGACCACTACCGATTGAAGCACAACCAACACCGCTTAGGCCTAGCTTGCCGTTTGGTATGCTGTCCTGGAACGTTTGTCAAGAACATAAAAATTCAGTGTCAAAAAAATTGCACTAGCAGTGAACGAAGCGTGACACAAAGTTCACGTTCGCAGCCGGAAGATCAGCAATGATGACAACTCGCTAAGATTATGTACGACAGCGCAGTGGCAGCAAAAGTGAAAGCTCGCTTGATAAAAACGTAAATGTTTTCAATTTACGGACAACGAAGCAAACACGATAATTGTTGCAAGCGTGATAACGAGGACGTCTTTCCTGACAGGAAACTGTTAAGCGCACGCTTTTGATACAGACGGGATCGCACATGCCACGTTGAGTTGTGCGCGGCCAAAGCCACGCTAGCGAGATGTAATACACTGTATCGGCGCCGGCGCAAAGGCTTATATTGGTCAACAAGGCAACCATCCTTCCTCCTTACTCAGCCAGCCCACGCAGTGCCTTGCGATCCTTTTTTCATTTTCTTTTTCTTCCCTCCACCCTTCGTTCATTCACTTTGTGTTCCTTCCTCCGCCATAACAACCTCATCAATTGCTCCCCTGTGGCGCACCCATCGCGCCTCCTTTCAGAAGGGCATTCACTACCGGGTTTGTCAAAAAATTTCTGGCAATTGCATTATAACCAGTCTTTCATCTTGAGGAACTGCACAATAAGCAGTATACGTATACATGGGGTTCTATGGAAGAACAAACGGGAGTGTAAAAAGACCGCATTGTAAGTAGTTCTGCACTATAAGTGGTTCTTCATTATAAGTGGTTACGTTATAAGTGGTTTACATTGTAATCCACAAAATAATCTTGCCATCTACTTCAGCCTCCCTTCTACCTTTCCTTTCTCAGTGCATATAGACCATTTCATCCGTCTTTCATCCGGCTGAGGACTTTGATAGTGAAACAAGCAGCAGCTACATCACAGCATACTTTAATATTCTTTATAAAAACCCCTGGCCACCCCTTCATAAGCCGGCAAACTCGCTCATGAGTCTACATCCGCAACGTTCTGGTGGGTCTGAATCCAAGTTATTCCGGCAAAATAAAATTTTTGTTAGTGTGGGTTCGAGTGAGTTCTTCCAAGCAAAGTTTCGGTGGGTCTGAGTAAATACAATGTGCAAGATATATCTCTCCAGTGGGTCTGAATGAGTCCCACTTTTTTTCTCGACTTATGGTCAGCAAAAGCAGCATTACTATCAGCATTTCCTGGTCTCACGACTACTCCCACATATTCCAAAGTAGTGTCCTTCATACACCATTTCATTATTTCTTGATCAGAGACACAAATGAGTAGGGGGTTGCCTTGATCTCCCCCTGCCAACTCTTCCGGGAAAGTTCTTGATAAATATATCTTATGTTGTTATCACCTGCGAAAAAAAAGACGTTACTCATGCCTCATAACTCGTATACGATGGTACTATATCAATTGGCACCAAGAAGACCACCGATCGCGTAAGATATTGGTGTTAAACAGCATTCACACCAGGTTTTAAAAACTTAAATCATTGCTAACGGACTCACTCGGACGCACTCACACTCATATCAAGCAAATTGGATAACCTTTAAAGCCTTACTCTAGCCATTTCTTGACCATGTCAAAGTAATGGTGCTTTTAGGTTGCCCAGATGCTCCTGTCATGAGCCTGATAGCATAAACACTTGGCAAAAGTTAGAACAATTTTTATTAAGCAAAAAATGAAACACTGAAACCAAAACCCAACCGCAGTACTATCCTCATGTGACATAAGCGTTGGTAAAAACCATGCGAACCGGAAATCGTACAAGGCATGCCAGTCTTGCGAGCACGGAGTGGGGAAGAGCAGACGCTCAGGGGAAAGATGACCCCATCGCAACAGTCCCGCCATGTCTTTTGCTGACTACGCTATGTGCACAAGCTCCTCGGAGCTGTTGAAAAAGGGCAGCAGAGATTCGAACGCATGTGAAGGCCAAGTAAAATCGCCGAAGATGAATGGCGATTGCTGGTTGCACTTGCTACTGTCAGATGGCGCCACATGTCCAGGCCGCTCAAGTTTTTTGGGTCGTGATCAGTAAAATGCTAACACTGAAAAGTTTGCGGACTAACTGAAGCTTCTCAATACAGTTAAACCTCGTTATAGTGAGATGGGTTATAATGAAGTAATAGATATAACAGCAAATCGTACTTCCCCTTGCAAATCCCCATAGGAACCAATGTATTCAATACTTCGTTTTAATGAGGTAAAATTTGCCGGTTATAGGATATAACGAACAAATCTTGTTAAATTCTGAGCTGACGTCACGACAGTGCAAAACACGAATTCGAGATGGTGCGCAACGCGGCAACTTCAGCAGTTCAAAACTCCTGCCACGCATCCTCCAGCAACGTGCGCAAAGCTGAGGCGCGCCAAGCGCATGTGCGCCACTTGGCTACCACCGATAGCCGAGGACTCCACAACTTCGCGAACAGCTCGTCTTTTTTAATTCTTTCTTTTGTGTTTTATTTATATTCTTCCTCTCCTTCTTCACGGCGCTGAGTCGTGCTCCCTAACAGGCTGCAGTGAAGAGAACCCCTTCCACTCTAATCTCTCTCTCTTAGCGCCCGTGAGCCCACTCGCAACATCCCCACTTCCCCTCAGTAAGCATGGCTACGGCACGCCTGCCTGCAAACACTGCAAGTGTTCTCACTCACCGACGTTAGCCGCATTGTTTTTGCATGCGTGTTTTTTTTTTTTTTTTTTTCGTGCTTCTGCCCTATCGTGATCGTGCGGTTCTCGTAATTCCAGCAACATGAATGTGGCAGGTGGGCAGCAAAAGCGTATTGCGCTAGATCAGAAGGTGGCTATGATAAAAGCCATTGAGGCGGGAACAAAGAAAAGCAAAGAGGCAAGTGACTTTGACGTGTCGCCGAGTACACTGTCCACGATCTTGAGCAAGCAGGAGTCTATCATCTACACTGTTGCGCGTGGGGTGAAAGGAAACGTTAAGAGGATGAGGACTGCTGCCTTTGAAGCAGTCGAAAGGGCCTTTTTTAAGTGGTTTTCGGACACACGGGCCGTGAATCTGCCGGTGAGCGGTGCCATGCTACAAACAAAAGCAAGGAACTTCGCCTGTATCATAGGCCATGATAACTTCGTTGCAAGTTTGGGTTGGTTCCAATGTTTCAAGGAGCGCCACGACATCTCCGGGAGAGTGGTCTGTAGCGAATCACAATCTGTTGACGAAGCAGAGGCTACAAAGTGGGTGAAAGAGAATATTGTGCGGCTGCTGAAAAAATACAGGTGAAAAATACAGGAGGACATCTTTAATGCGGACGAAACTGCTCTCTTTTTCAAGATGTTGCCGCACAAGACTTAGCCCTCGGAGGTGAGCCGTGCCATGGCAGTTTGGCATACTTTTGTAGTGCCCCGCTACATCATCATCACCATTGGCATAGCCACCGCCCCA